TCAAAAAAAAAAAAAAAAGAAAAAGAAACGGTTGGCTGGGCGCCGTGGCTCACGCCTGAAATCCCAGCACTTTGGGAGGCCGAGGCAGGTGGATCACGAGGTCAAGAGATCGAGACCATCCTGGTCAACATGGTGAAACCCCGTCTCTCCTAAAGATACAAAAAATTGGCTGGGCACGGTGGCGCGTGCCTGTAATCCCAGCTACTCAGGAGGCTGAGGCAGGAGAATTGCCTGAACTCAGGAGGCGGAAGTTGCGGTGAGCCGAGATCGCGCCATTGCACTCCAGCCTGGGTAACAAGAGCGAAACTCAAGTCTCAAAAAAAAAAAAGAAAGAAAGAAAAGAAAAAGAAAAAGAAATCTAAACACATGTGTTTTATCTTTTTTTATGAGAAAAAGAAACACTGTAATTCAGAAAAATGAATAACCACAACTGGTACTTTTAAATCTTACCAGACTATTTAAATGTAACCATTATGAAAACCACATTTGAACATGTGTGCCAAAACACAAATGTGATCATGTCACTGCCTCATTAAATGGAAAGCCCATTCAATGATTTTAGAATGATTTTAGAAGAGTATTTAGATGCTAAATACCCTCGTAGCACACAACCCCTGCTATGCTATCTGGATTTATCCCTAGGCAATTCTTCAGTCAATTTCTATGCACCAATCTTAGTAAAATTTCACGTTACTATATTAATTCCTGCACAGCTTTCAGGTCTCAGCTTCTCTGCCTCTGAGAATGTCCGTAATTCTTAGGCTCCCATACTCTCCTTGAATTACGACAGTTGCTTTTGCATTAACTATTCTTCTTGTGTCTGTTCTGTGGTACCATGTTATCATTGCATTTATAAAACTGCTTATTTACATTTAAAAGGTCGCTATGTATTTCCAATTTTAAGATAGTAAAATTAACTCTAACCTTTTTCTCCCTTAAACTTTCATAAAGTAACAAAGGCAATTAGAAATATAAAAGAGAACTCTATCATCAGTAAAATAGGAAGAAATACACGAACACACACGCGAAGATGGCCGACCACTAACAGCTCAGGATTGTAGCTCCCAGTGAAAGCCCAGAGAACGAGACGACACCACACTTTTAGACGAATTTTCGTCACTCACCGATCAGCCGATTCCCAGTGGAGGAGCCCCACGGGTCGCCAGCGCAACTCTTGTGGCCACCGCAGCGGTTTTGCCGGCTTCTCGGCGCAGCAGCTCTTCATGCAGAGCCAACGGGACTGCTTCCCCTACTGGCCGGAGTTTGGAGCTCCGGGAAGTCAGAGCCGCTTGTTGCGGACTCAAGAGGGAAGCCAGACCAGAGATTCCCGGGCAGAAGAGCACCATCAGTCTTACTGCTGCTATTTAGGCTGCCACAGTGGGTTGCTCGAATCCCAGCACTGGGAATCAATAAGTCGGACGTCGACTCAGAAAACTAATTAGAAAGGCGGGTCATCTACAATGAAGGGAAAAAAACAGCCTAAGAAGGCTGAGTATACTTAAAATCAGAACTCATAAGCAACGGAACAAGCCCTGATGGAAAAGGACTCATTAGCAACCGAACAAGCCCTGATGGAAAAGGACTCATCAGTAACGGAACAAGCCCTGATGGAAAAGGACTGTGTTCCATTATCTGAAGTAGGCTTTAAAAGGTGGATGATAAGAAACTTCTGGGAGTTAAAGGAACTTGTTCTAACCCAATGTAAAGAAACTAAGAACTTGGAAAAAAGGTTAGATGAAATGTTGAAAAGAATAGACAATATAGAGAGGAATACAAATGAACGTATGGAGTTGAAAAATACAACACGAGAACTTAGTGAAATATGTACAAGCTTAAACAGCCGAATGGATCAAGCAGAAGAAAGGGTATCAGAGGTCGAAGATCAACTTAATGAAACAAAACAATAAGACAAGAATAGAGAAAAAAGGATAAAAAGGAATGAGCAAAGTCTCCAAGCAATATGGGACTATGTGAAAAGACCTAATATACGCTTGATTGGTGTACCTGAATGTGACGGAGAAAATGAATGCAAGCTGGAAAATACTCTCCAGGACATTATCCAGGAAAATTTTCCTAATTTAGCAAAGCAGGACACTATTCAACCCCAGGCAATACAGAGAACACCACAAAGATATTCCTCAAGAAGACCAACCCCAAGGCACATAATCGTTAGATTCACCAAGATAGAAATGAAGGAGAAAATATTAAGGGCAGCCAGAGAGAAAGATCAAGTTACCCATAAAGGTAAGCCTATTAGGCTTACAGCAGATCTCTCAGCAGAAACCCTACAAGCTAGAAGAGAGTGGGGGCCAATATTCAATATACTTAATCAACAGAACTTTCAGCCAAGAATTTCATATCCTGCCAATTTAAGCTTTACATTTGAAGGAAAAATAAAATCTTTTAGGAACAAGCAAGTACTCAGAGATTTTATTACCACCAGGCCTGCTTTACAAGAACTTCTAAAAGAAGCATTATACACAGAAAGGAACAACCAGTATGACCCTTTCTAAAAATACACCAAAAAGTAAAGAGCATTAACATAAAGAAGAATTTTCATCAACGAAAGGACAAAATAGCCAGTTAATATCAAACGGCAGCAACCCTAAATTTAAATCAACCAAATCTCCCAATCAAAAGATACAGACAAAATCTAACAGTATATCCAAAGATATACATAGACTCAAAATAAAGGGTTGGAAAAAAAAAAACGTACCAACCAAATGGAGAGCAAAAATAAATAAATAAAAAGCAGGAGTTGCAATTTTCACATTTGACAAAATAGATTTCAAAGCTACAAGGATACAAGGGTAAAAGGATTAATGTAATAATAAGAGATCTTAACACCCAGATACATAAGACCCATAATGAGATTTAGATTCAACGAGACAGAAAATTGATAACGATATCCGGGACTGGAACTAAGATCCAGAACAAATAAACTCAATAGAGCTCTCCATTTTAAACACACAAAATATACATTATCCACAAAATCTAATGAAATATCTAAAGATATACAAAGACACAAAACAAGGGGATGGAAAAAACTCACCAACCAAATGAAGAGCAAAAACAAATAAATAAAAAGCAGGAGTTGCAATTCTCACACTTAATAAAATAGATTTCAAAGCTACAAGGTTGCAAGGGTAAAAGGATTAATACAACAATAAGAGATCTTAACACCCAGATACATAAGACACATAATGAGATTTAGATTCAACGAGACAACAAATTGATAACGATATCCAGGACTTGAACTCAGAGCCAGAACAAATAAACACAATAGAGGTCTCCATTTTAAACACATAAAATATGCATTAACCACTTTAAACACTCAAAATATTGATCGGCCATTATTGAAACCCACTTTAGGAATGAAGTAATATTCCTTTTTCCCTCTTTTTCTTTTTTTCCCCTTCTTTTTCTCTTAAAAAAAAAAAAAAGAAATACACATGAAGAAGGGCTACCAAAATAGTAAAACTTCAATCAGAATAAGAGACGTTATGGAGACAAGATACTTGAAGATTCAGATTTCAGAGAATACCAGGTGCATGCTTCCTAAAAAATAGGTGACATATCCTGAGTAGAAAAAAAGCAAAACAGTGATTCTTTCCTTGCCGAGGTAAACAACATTGCGCAGCAAAGCTTGACTGTAGCATATTTTCTGAATGGAAACATGGAGAGGCAGAAGATGTAGAACTCAATGAGGAAATGCACAGGGATGCCATCTTTGCCATAGATTTAAAAAGAAAGAGAGTCCTTAAGTAATAAGCAGTCTAATTTCAATCACTGTGAACATAAAACCAAAAATGCTAAACCAGTTCACAGAGAGTCACATATGCAGAGCTATACTCTGAGCCAAGAAGACCTCCAGCCACCCCCAGAGCCCCTCTCTGAATCTTCCCCAACACTATCTTTCTACAATACCCCTTTCCAAGATAACAAAAATAAACTACATATACTCTATTAATAAATGCAATAAAAACAAAAAGGTAGTAAAAGATCAGGAAAATCAATCACTGCTGGAGAATACACACCTCTATAAGCAATGATCAATGACCTCCTAAAAGGACATGCTACAGGTCTTATTAAAGACCGATGACAACAGAAAGAACGAAAACAGGTGGATAGGTTTTCAGCTGGTGAACTTAACTACAAAGACTGTTTGCCATCCCCCTCTCCAACTGAAAATATGTGGAACATATGTAAAAAAATAATTTTCGATATTTTTGAATATTTAGCCACACTCAACACCAAGAATTTATATAATAAATATGGAAGCTCAAAATTAAGTAAATGATAAAACTGAACCTGCCTACAAGTTTACTAGGAACACCCTAAGGCCATTATTTCTAGCATCTGAACTTTCTGCCCTCAGGAAGTGGAGGGTAAGTAACATTCTGGAGCATGAGTGAGGCCAGACTATGCTTCATATGTAAACCAGGAGTCCCAAAGGAAATGCCAACTGCTTGTATTCTGTGAATACAAAGACTTCTTCTTTGTTTTTTGTTTTTTTTTTTTTTTCGAGACAGGGTCTCCCTGTGTTGCCCAGCTTGCACTCAAACTCTGGGGCTTCAACGATCTTCCTGCCTCAGCTTCCCAAATAGCTGGGTCTTTAGGCATAGGTCATCATGCCTGCCTTGTAAAAACATTTATTATGAGAAATCAGAGATCCAGGCCAAATGAAATAGATGGACTAAAATCCCACTACTCACGTGGTGAGATATCCAGATTCCAAAATTTGCAACCACTACAATTAAATGTTCTTGAAACTGTGAAACTCCTGGGGACTGGCAAGGGAAACTGCTTTGTAAGAACATTTCCATTAGTTCTGGACACATGACACTCTGACTGAATGGCCTATCTGAGCTCACAAAATTTTCAAACTATGAAAGAAATTCAGTCATTGTGAAAGAGTCTAAAGAGATAGCCAAGAAAAAAATAGAATTTTCATCCTAAGAAATACAAATCAGAAAATCTGGAGTCACTAGAATCGCAAGATGGCAACGGCAGCTGCAAACTCGGCTTCAGAACCCGAGGCTGAGCCCAAGGCTGGGCCCAAGGCTGACGGAGAGGAGGATGAGGTTAAGGCGGCTAGGACAAGGAGGAAGGTGTTATCGCGGGCTGTGGCCGCTGCCACGTACAAGCCCATGGGGCCAGGGTGGGATCAGCAGGAGGAAGGCGTGAGCGAGAGCGATGGGGATGAGTAGGCCGTGGCTTCCTCCGCGGAGAGCTCCCCAGGGGAGTACGAGTGGGAATATGAGGAAGAGGAGGAGGAGAATCAGCTGGAGATTGAGAGGCTTGAGGAGCAGTTGTCTATCAATGCCTATGGCTACAACTGCCACGTGGACCTGATCAGGCTGCTCCGGCCGGAAGGGGAGCTTACCAAGGAGAGGATGGCTCGCAGAAGATGAGTGAGATCTTTCCCTTGACTGAAGAGCTCTGGCTGGAGTGGCTGCACGACGAGATCAGCAGCGGGATCTGCATGATCATGCAGAACTGGGCTAGGATTGAGGCTCGGCTGTGCAGTAACATGCAGAAAGCTCGGGAACTCTGGGATAGCATCATGACCAGAGAAAACGCCAAGTACGCCAACATGCAGCTAGAGTATTACAACCTGGAGAGGGCACATGTGACACCCAGCACTGCCGGAAGGCGCTGCACTGGGCCGTCCAGTGCACCAGTGACTACCCAGAGCATGTCTGCGAAGTGTGGCTCACCATGGAGAGGACAGAAGGTTCTTTAGAAGATTGGGATATAGCTGTTCAGAAAACTGAAACCCGGTTAGCTCATGTCAACGAGCAGAGATTGAAGGCTGCAGAGAAGGAAGCAGCCCTTGTGCAGCAAGAAGAAGAAAAGGCTGAACAACGGAAAAGAACCCTGGCTGAGAAGAAAGCACTGAAAAAGAAGAAAAAGACCAGAGGCCCAGATAAGCGCGGAGCAGATGAGGATGATGAGAAGGAGTGGGGCGATGATGAAGAAGAGCAGCCTTCCAAACGCAGAGGTGTGGAGAACAGCATCCCTGCAGCTGGAGAAGCACAAAACGTGGAATCAGAAGCAGGGCCCACTGGGAAATGTGCTGTTGTAGATGTGGAGCATTCTTCGAAGCAGAAGGAGAAGGCAGCCTCCCTGAAGAGGGACATGCCCAAGGTGCTGCAGGACAGCAGCAAGGACAGCATCACCGTCTTTGTCAGCAACCTGCCCTATAGCATGCAGGAGCGGGATGCGAAGCTCAAGCCGCTCTTCGAGGCCTGTGGGGAGGTGGTCCAGATCCGACCCATCTTCAGCCACCGTGGGGATTTCCAAGGCTACTATGTGGAGTTTAAAGAAGAGAAATCAGCCCTTCGGGCACTGGAGATGGACCGTAAAAGTGTAGAGGGGAGGCCAATGTTTGTTTCCCCCTGTGTGGATAAGAGCAAAAATCCCGATTTTAAGGTGCTCAGGTACAGCACTTCCCTGGAGAAACACAAGCTGTTCATCTCGGGCCTGCCTTTCTCCTGCACTAAAGAGGAACTAGAGGAAATCTGTAAGGTTCATGGCACCGTGAAGGACCTCAGGCTGGTCACCAATAGGGCTGGCAAACCAAAGGGCCTGGCCTACGTAGAGTATGAAAATGAATCCCAGGCGTCGCAGGCTGTGATGAAGATGGACAGCATGACTATCAAAGAGAGTATCATCAAAGTGGCAATCAGCAACCCTCCTCAGAGGAAGGTTCCAGAGAAGCCAGAGGCCAGGAAGGCATCAGGTGGCCCCATGCCTTCACCGCAGACATACGGAGCAAGGGGGAAGGGAAGGACGCAGCTGGCTCTACTGCCTCGTGCCCTGCAGTGCCCAAGTGCTGCAGCTCCTCAGGCCGAGAATGGCCCTGCCCCAGCTCCTGCAGTTGCCACCCCACCAGCCACCGAGGCACCCAAGATGTCCAATGCCGATTTTGCCAAGCTGTTTCTGAGAAAGTGAACAGGACTCTGGGAGACAGGAAATGCCTTACTTCACTCTGGCCCGGAGGACCACCCACACTACCCACCAGTGCATGGGGATGGACAGGCCTGGTGTGCTGCCCACTCGCAACCACAGATGGCTCCTCTGCTTCACAGAAAGGGGAAAAGGCCCTAAGTTAGGAGCCTTTCAGTGCTCCCTCATATTGAGGGCAGTGGCAGAAAAGTGACCACTCTGCAGGCTGGGCCCAGGATGTGGTGTCCTAAGCAGCTTTTGTATCTTCAGGATTGAGGCACAGAAGCAAAACTAGAACACAGAGTTTTTGAGACGCACTTGTCCAAATGTTTCTGGCCAGCTCTGGCCCCTTTTTATATGACACTTGTCTTCCACCCTGGACAGCACATGTGCCCATCATTCTTTTAAAAGATGAAATGGCAGATGCTAGTAATTCACCAGAATGGCCTAATGTGGGGGTGGGTCTGAGGGAAGTCATCTAAAAACAGTTGCTGGATTTTTGTTCAAGGGGGCTGTGCATTTTTATATTCTGTATTTGTAAATGACACGTCAACCATTGTTTTATGTTTCCTTAAAGCAGAATAGTTGCAACATTTGTATAGGAATTATTTGTGCCACCTGCTGTGGACTGTTTTCTTTGCCTAGTGATTAGTGACCTGTGTTGTCTAAACATGAGTTTCAGCCTTTTGGCTTTGTTTAATTCCATGTTAAATGCAAACTTCCCTTCTCCCCATTTAGCTTTATTAAACTGAAGTTCTCTTAAAAACTTATTGCTGAATGGTACTCAGATGTACATTCACATATGGATGTGTTTTGAAGTGGGTGTACCTTGCTTTACCTAATGGATGTGTAAACAGAACTTCTGTTAAGTCAAAAAATATATCTATATCTGAAAGAAACCTAAAATCCAGTATGTTCAAAATGTTTAAAATTGGCTGTGAGTTTTTCATAGATGACTCTTATTTTGAAGTATGTTCCTTCAATGCCTTGTTTGTTGAGAATTTTGAACCTGAAGGGATGCTGAATTTTATTGAAAGCCTTTTTTGGCACATGCTGAGATAATCATGTGGTTTTTGTTTTTAGCTCTGTTTATGTAACAAATCAAATTTATTGATTTGTGTATGTTGAACCTACCTTCTATCCCAGGGATAAAGCTCACTTGATGATGGTGGATTTGCTTTTTAATATGCTGTTGGACAAGGTTTGCTACTATTTTGTTGGGGATTTTTGCATCTATGTTCATCAAGGATATTGGCCTGAACTCTTTTGTCGTTGCATCTCTGCCAGGTTTTAGCATCAATTCATGATGCTAGCCTCATAAAATGAGATCGAAAGGGGTAACGTCTCCTCAATTTTTGGGAAGAGTTTTGGTAAAAATGTTACCAGCTCTTTATACATCTGATCAAATTTGGCTATGAATCTGTCTGGTTTTGGGCTTTTGCTTTTTGGTAGGCTTCTTATTACTAATTCAATTTTGGAACTCATTATTGGTCTGTTCAGAGATTACATTTCTTCCTGGTTCAATCTTGGGAGGTTGTATGTTTCTAGGAATTGATCCATTTCTTCTAGGATTTTTGCTTATGTGCATAGAGGTATTCCTGGTAGTCTCTGAAGGTTTTCTGTATTTCTGTGGGGTCAGTAGTATAATATTCCCTTTGTCATTTCTGATTGTGTTTATTTGTACCTTCTCTCTATTTTTCTTTATTAGTCTAGCTAGTGGTCAATCTATCTTATTAATTCTTCCAAAAAGTCAACTCATGAATTCATTGATCTTTTGTATCATGTTTTCTTTCAATTTCCTTCAGTTCAGCTTTGATTTTGGTTATTTCTTGTCTTCTTCTATCTTTACAGTTGGTGTGTTCTTGTTTCTCTAGTTCCTCCAGGTGTGGTGTTAGGTTATTAGTTTCAGGTATTTCTGACTTTTTGATGTGGACATTTTTGATGTGGACATTTAGTGCTACGAAAATCTCCCTTGACACTGCTTGAGTTGTGTCCCAGAGATTCTGGTATGTTGTATCTTTGCTCTCATTAGTTTCAAATAATTCCTTGATTTCTGCCTTAATTTCATTGTTCACACAAAGATCATTCAGGAGCAGATTGTTTAATTTCTATGTAATTATATGCTTTTGAGAAATTTTCTTAGCATGTATTTCTATTTTTATTGTGCTGTGGTCTGAAAGTGTGGTTGGTAAACTTTGGGTTTTTTTTTTAGTTTTGCTGAGGATTGCTTTATGGCTGACTGTGAGGTCAATATTAGCAGATGAGAAGAATGCATATTCTATTGTTTTGGGGTGGAGAGTACTGAAAATAGATGTCTATTAGGTCATTTAGTCAAGTGTCACATTCAGATCCTGAACATCTTTGTTAGTTTTCTGCCTCAATGATCTGTCTAATACTGTCAGTCTTAGATGTCAATGTCTCCCACTATTATTATGTAGAACTCTAAGCCTCTTCATAGGCAAATGCACAGTCAAAATCATACTGAATGGGAAAAAGCTGAAAGCAAGTCTTCCTGAAAAGTGGAACAAGCTAAGGATGACCTATCTCACCACTCCTATTCAACATAGTACTGGAAGTCCTGATCAGAGCAATCAGGAAAAGAAGGAAATCAAAGGCAACCAAATAGGAAGAGAGGAAGTCAAACTATCCCTGATTTCAGATGATATGATTCTATACCGAGAAAACCCCATAATCTGCCTAAAAGCTCTTTGACCTGATACACAACTTCAGCAAAATTTCAAGGCACAAAAGCAGTGTATAAAAACCAGTAGCATTGCTATACACCAACAACATCCAAGCTGTGAGGCAAATCAAGAAGACATCCCATTAGTAATAGCCAGAAAAATAATGAAATACATAGAAATATAGCTAACCAGGGAGGTGACGATCTCTACAGTGAGAATTACAAAACACTGCTCAAAGAAATAAGCAACAGTGCAACCAAATGGAAAAACATTCCATGCTCATGGATAGTATATTAGTCCATTTTCACACTGCTTTAAAAAACTTCCTGAGAGAGGGTAATTTATAAAGGAAAGGGGTTTAACTGATTCACAGTTCTGCATGGCTGTGGAAGCCTCAGGAAACTTACAATCATGGCAAAAGGGAAAGCAGGCACATCTTACATAGCAGCAGGCAAGAGTAGGAATGTGTGAGAGCACAGAACAAACTACCACTTATAAAACCATCAGATCTTGTGAGAATTCACTCCCTATCACAAAACAGCATGGGTGAATGGCCCCCATCATCCCATCACGTTCCTCCCTCCACACTTGGGGATTACAGGCCGCTTCCTCAACATGTGGGAATTACAATTTGAGATAGGATTTGGGTGTAGACATGTATTCTGAACCTAAAATAGAATTTTTTTTAATCCACAAAAAAAACAACAAAAAATAAAATGTTCAAAGAGACTAGAGAATAGCAACTATAAGAATATATAAAATAAAGAGGGGGAGAGGATTTTTTTTAAAAGAGACCCCTCCACATTTTAAACATATATTCATTGAAAATAAAAACTCAGTAAATGAATGTAACAGCAGACAATAACAAACTAAAGAGAAAATTAATTAATTGGAAAATAGATACAAATTACTCCTAGAACAAATGTAAATAAAAATATAAAAAAGAAGTTACAAGCCAAGGTGACTAGAAAGAAACGTTAAAAATATGCATCTAATAGTTGAAAAACAAGCTAGAGATTAGAGACAAGTCAATAGCAGTATGGCTGAGAATTTTTCTAAACATGAATTCCTAAACAGGAAAACATGAGTCATAAAATTAAAGCTGCTCATTAAATAGAAAGCAGTCCATATATATATATATATATATATATATATATATATATTTTTTTTTTTTTTTTGATAGGGAGTTTCACTTTTGTTACCCAGGCTGGAGTGCAATGGCGCTATCTAGGCTCACTGCAAACCTCTGCCTCCTGAGTTCAGGCAATTCTCCTGCCTCAGCTTCCCGAGTAGCTGAAATTACAGGCACGCACCACCATGCCCAGCTAATTTTTTTATTTTTAGTAGAGACCGGGTTTCACCATGTTGACCAGGATGGTCTTGATCTCTTGACCCCGTGATCCACTCGCCTCGGCCTCCCAAAATGCTGGGATTAAAGGCGTGAGCCACAGCCTTTAATAAAAAAAAAATATTTTTTAAATTCTTAGATACATTGTGGTAAAATAACAGAACATTAGAGAAGAAAAGAAAAAAAAATTAAAGGTACTAGAGAGTGGTCTGCCAAAGACAGCTTGACCAACATCACACTTTGTACATCAGTGACAATTTAGGATAAAAAGCAATAAAATATTCCAGGTGAGGTGGCTGACGCCTTTAATCCCAGCACCTTGGAAGGCTGAGGCCAGCAGTTCACCTGAGGTCAGGAGTTCAAGACCAGCCTGACCAATATGGCGAAACCCCATCTCTGCTAAAAATACAAAAGAAGCCAGCAATGATTATGGGCATGGTTGTGGGCACCTGTAATTCCAACAACTCGGGAGACTGAGGCAATGAGAATTGTTTGCACCTGGGAAGCAGAGGTTGCAGTGAGCTGAGATCACACCACTGCACTGCAGCCTGAGCGACAGAGTGAGACTCCATCTCAAAAAAAAAAAAAAGAAAGAAAAATGTTAGGCGCAGTGGCTCACGCCTGTAATCCCAGCACTTGCTGCAGCAAGTGGATCACTGAGGTTAGAAGTTCGAGACCAGCCTGGCCAACAATGGTAAAACCCCATCTCTAATAAAAATAGAAAAATTAGCCAGGTGTGGTGGTGGGCACTTGTATTCCCAGCTACTCAGGAGGCTGAGGTGGGAGAATTATTGAACATGGGAGGTCGAGGTTGTAGTGAGCCGAGATCTCGGCACTGCACTTTAGCCTGGGCGACAGAGTGAGACTCTATCTTAACAAAAAAAAGTAATGAAATAGTATGTTCAAACACCTGAAGGAAAACATTTGTTATCTGAGAATTTTATAATCATATAACTATCATTCAATAGAGCATATGGGATAAAGCTAATTTAAGATACATAAAACTGAGAAAGTTACTACCCACAGACCCAGCTGAAAAAATACCAGAGGATTACCTTCAGCAAGTAAAAACGAAACTCACAAGGAAACAGTGAGATTTTAAAAGTAACAGTGAGCAATAAAACTAGCAAAATATGTTGACAAATCTAAATAAGTATTCACTGTTAAATATTCTAAAAATGCCATTTTGGAACAGATTTAAAAACAAAGTTAAAACCAAAGTGATTGACTTCCACCGAAAATTGAAGCTACAGAGAGGATCACATCCATAGCCAGGATGTTGACCTTGATACAAGCGATCAATCTTATTCAGATTTTCCCAAATTTACTCTGTGTGTGTGTGTGTGTGTGTTGTGTGTGTGTGTGTGTGTGTGTGTTCGGTCTATGCAATTTTATGACATGTGCAGTTTTATGTATCTCCCGGCACAGCCAAAATACAGACCAGTTTTATCTCCCCAAATATCCCTTGCGTTGCCCTTTTATAACCACACTCGCTTCTATTCTACCACACTCCCCTTCCACAATACCTAACTGCCAACCATTCATCTGTTTGCCATTTCTATAACTTTGTCATTCCAAGAATATTATATAAATGGAATTTTATTGTTATGTCAAACCATTTATGATTGACTTATTTTCAACCCAGCATTATTCCCTGGAGATTTGTTCAAGTTGTTGCATGTAGTGATATTTCCTTTTGATTGCAGAGTACTAGTTCACCTTATGATGT